AGCACTGACACAAAAATGTATTTTTTTTTTTATTTTCTTGATGGTTTATTTTGCTAGTTTCAGTTGCTTTAGAGCACTTGTTTTATATAACTTTGTATCCTCAGCCCTTAGTCAGGGCCTTGTCCTCAATAAATATTTGAAATGACCTCGGTAGCCTGTAGTCCTGCCAGTTAGCACATGTTGATTTTTCTGCTTGTAATGTCTTCCCTTACTTTAATGTGCCTGATACACTCTTTACTACTTGATATAAAGGAGGAAGTGAGATGGTGTTACTTAACAATGTGCATCATCATCTGTGTCTTTTTTGAAAATGATACTTACCTTAAAAGACTGTTGGGAGGATTAAAAGAGTTAATGATACCTGCTTCTCTTCCATTGTAACAGGCCAAATTCTTCCCTCTTCCTAGAACAAGTCCCTAGGGAGTTTTGTTCCAGAATTAGGTTTTTGGAATCTTTTGCACCAGTTAGGTTCTCTATATCCTCCCTTTACAATAGGTCTTGATGGCTCAATTAAAACTAGAGAACAAATTACTAAAAGGAAGAACATTCTTTCTCTTATTGAAGGAGATCTGAGGTGAGATGTATTTGCATAACTGCACAGTAATTTCCTCTTAAATAAACACTGCAAGATAACAAAGGCTGAAAAAACAAATGGTTAAATTTTCATGTATCAGGAGAAAAGTTTTTCATTTTCTTCTCCATTTGCAAAGTGGCTAAAGCACAGTATATAAAAAGTAAAGGTTAGCTTCCTTTCCTTCATCCTTTCAAGTTTTAAAAGCTGTAACTGAAGATTTTTAGCAGTTAAAGATGAGCATCTTCACAGTGAATTTTCTGGTAGTTTTGTTATTGGACAGGAAGAGGGGTAGCCCAAGCCCCGCAAACCTGCCTATTCTAAATGGGTTCTGCCATCTGCCGCATCAACACAAAACATAGGAGACTTTAATGGGAAGGAACTTTAATAAAACTAGGGAACAATACAGGTAAGGCAAAGAGTCTAGTTTCTAAATGAAGCACCCAAAGTTACCCATTCCCTCGTGGGTAAAAGTCCATCCATATGGGATCGGCCCAGAACAAGGCCCCAAAGCCTGCCACAAGTCTAAAGCATCTTCCAGTGGGGACCCACAGAAAAGGGTCACAAACAACCGGACAAGCCCGGAAGGAAAAGAGCAAAATCAACATCAAGATAAAAGCTGCCATTGTCACCTCCCCACGGGTCTCACCCACATCTGTGTCACCCAGTCCACGACCAAAAGACAAGCACAGTTTCTTCACGTGTCTCTAGGCTCCATGAGCCTCCTCCAGGTCTCCTTCTGGCTCCATCCTGCTTCCTTCCTCAGTCTCTTCTCCAGCTTCTCCTCTTCCTGCTCAGCTCCACCCTCCCTTGGGTGGGGCAGGGAACCTCCCCCTTTCCTGGGGACCACCCTGTTGCAATCCCCCCTTTTAATTTTTATTCCACCATATCTATGAGATCTCATGGTGTAATCTTAGGAGACAGTCTTTTTTCAGGGTTACAATGTGTGTAAGAGAAGCAACAATTAGTCAGCAGCATTGTCCATGAATGTCCAGTATGAGTTTCATTACTTAAAAATAGTCCATTATCCAAGCCAAAAGAAAAAATTTGGAGCATTGGCTAAAACAAGATAGCAAATATATCAAAACCACAGGGAAAGTATGTTAAAATGGTTCAACTTATGCAAAAACGAATTCTCTCAACCTTGATCCCAAACTTTAACAGCATAGCAAAAGTTTGCAAACTAAATCTACTTTTAAACCATATTGCCTATTTTTGCATAAAATCACAGGGCAGAATAACTAAGCAGCAATTTTTAGCTGGCTTCGTTGGAATACTCCATATAGGATTCAGAGCGAACTGTTGACATCCGGTCCGTGTAGGCTTCAGGAACAAGTTGGTCTCATCAGACTCCACTCCTTTCCTCTTCTCGAGGGTACCAGGGACTTTTCGTTGGCCGGGTTGTCCAGTCCTGCCAATGGAGGCAAGCTTCCTCACCTTCTTTGGAGGTCTCTGGAACCCTACGAACAAAGCAAACAGGTTCTCCTCTTCTTGGTTCAGCTCTGTTTCAACTTTCTGGAAGAGCTCCACACAAAGCCACACAATGAAACTTATGTCCAATTTTTTTCAGTTTAAACAAAATCCCTATGGAAGTTATGCAAAAACAGACTCTGAGATAAGTAGTAAAAGATTACTACCACTATTTTTACGCTGTGTTGGTATCAAGGGGAGAGAAAATGCAAACACAAGTTAGCTTTGTTGGAAAAAAAAAAATTACAACCTTGCTGCAGATCCTGGTCACCAAAACAAGAAAACTTTGTGGATTTAGAACAAAATGCAAAAAAATCATGAGTATTATGTCAAGGAAAACTTAGTAAATGTCAGTTGTATTTCCAGGTCTATTCAGTCCTTTGTAGGAAAGTTTTTTACTCTCAACAGTTTCATCAATAGGAATCTGTTGAGACCTTTTCTCTCTATATTTCCAGAAACAATTTCTGTAGATGTGAAACAATTGAATTATACAATATTACAAGGTGACAATCACCATTGACAATTTACATACATACCAGATACCGAGAGGTTTTTTTTTTATATACGCATTTTAGAAAACTACTGTTAACATTTTGTACATACCAAAGTTTTACCATTTTCCAAGTGACAATGCTTCCCTTCCAGTTTTACTTCATTAGGTAAAAGCCAAATAGAACAAATTCATCTAATGCCTTCCCAGGAGGAAAAGGAGAAACTTTGTGGAGTGTCTCAGGAGCTCTACTGAGGTTCCACAAAATTTCCTTGCATCAGTCAAATGACAGGCTACCAAATTTGTACTTGAATTTAGATTTCTGGGAAGCTTTGCCATAAATATCAGAAAATTAGCAGAAACAACAATATTAAATCTCTATGAAGGCACCGGCTTAGTTCAGTAGCACAATGTTGACAATCAAACCATAACCTTTAGTTTTTCTCATAACTGGAGACTTTTTTTTTCTTCAACGTCTATGGGCACCACGTATACCAATTTTTCAACCTCTCTAGGCCAAGACAGACACAAGGACATACAGACATACAACATATAGACAAAGACAGTTTTTTTTAGTTATGCCACGTAGAATATGTTAGGTAACTGCAGTTTTACTCCATAGGCTCAGAAAAAAAATGTCAAAGTCCAAAAAAAATGTGGAGTGTTGCTGGCAGAAAAATTTCCAGTTGTCATCCTACAAACCTAAGACTTTGGAAATAGGAAGGAAAAGTTTTATTAATCACAAGAGTTACATGACCTTGTTTATCACCTTAGGGTTTTCAGTGTTGAAGACTTTTTATTAGAAGTCAATCCTGGGGTATTCTGTACAGCAACTGAAAGAATAAAAGTTAAGTTTTAAGCAAAAGGAGTCATCTCTTGTTAGCCACCAAGCAGGCACTCCTTGGGTTTCCTGGAATAGAACCTGAAAAAGCAGAAGCAAAATATCAGTAATTAACTTTCAATTAAAAGGAGTCATCTCCTTACTTCTGTTAGCCACTCTGGGACAGAAGCTGAAAGAGCAGATTAAACATCTAAGCACAGATTACACCTCCCCCACACTAGGGAGGGACAACAACAACACAGGTATGAAAACCTGGTACACTTATATGATGCACCCTAAAGAGTGATTTCCATAACAGACCTTCCTCAGTAGGAAGCAGAAACTTAGAATCTTGTCTTACACCAGCAATTGAACAAATCCAGTATTCAAAATGGCAAACATGCCCAAAACAAATTCTGTAGACAAAATTCACAGTAGCAAATCCTTTCAGACTCAGACAAAATCTTGTTAATTTTTCTGATCCAGACTTTGCAAAAATTCAAGTTATCTCCAAGAATCCATCAAGGATACCAGCAATTACCAGTTACTGCTTAAGGCTACTCTTTCCTTAACATCCAGGCATACATTTGCTAATTTAAACACCACTGCTCCACAATTGGCTTGCAAAATCCATCAGGCAGAGAGCAGGAAGTAGCCAAAGACAAAGCAACATACCAGTGAAGAACCATTATTGCCTTTAGAAATGCTTATGAGACAGCAGAGATTACAAAAAGAAAGAAAAAAAGAAGTTCCAAAGTCCTAGCAACAAGAACCTCTGAATTTTACAAGAGCCAGCCAAGTGGCCTCAGACGCCATCTTTGATCTGGCCACATGGTCCAATGTACTGCCTAATCTTTTGAGTAAAACTGGCACAGAACAATTTCCATAAATTAAAATCTCTTAGCAAGTCACTACAAACAAATTACACACAAACACACAGAATTTTCACAAAGCCCAAGCCAGTTTTTCAACAGCAAATCGACATATGAAACAAACACACTGGAGAAACCAAAAATCACATTAGCGCTTATGGTAGCCAGTGCCATAGGGAAGCCCAATTTCCCCATGGGGCTGACTAACCACGGATGGCTCTGTCCTAAATCAGTTTCAGTATAATTATTCTTCCAAGGGCATACGACCATTCAGTGTATTGTCTTACTAAACCTGTTTGCACTGTCAAAGTTTAAACATAGCACTTTAAAACAATTACACTCCTTAGAAATCATGAAAACTTCTAATATGTGTAACTAAACAAAACAGGAAAATCACATGAAACATATTTGCACTCAGAAGTAAAACGTTTTCCTACCGGTCCCTAGGTTACCTTTTGCCTATCTCTGGTATTGTTCTCATTCGAGTATCATTTGTTGTTTAGACTGGCCTTTCCCAGTTGACTTGGAAACTTAACACTTTCTAGGCAAAGTTTCAAAGCTGAGTCAAATATAGTTTGGGTGCTTTATTCGTGGGCACATGTATCATGCAAGACTTGTGAAGGGAGTGCTCTTGAGGTCAGAGTTTTAAGACAGAAAACTCAGCTATGTGTTTATCTACAGGTTTGACAGCAACAGCTTTCGACGTGTGAAGCTCACCACACCCCGTGAGGTAAGCGTCCACTCATCAAATGACCCTTGTTGACGTCCACGCGTGATAAAAGCCTCAAGCCCTCTTGGGGTCTAGGCTGAATTTTCTCCACGGGCTGGTGTGAGAACTGGGCTCCTCTAAACTATGTAGTTCCAACTCGCTCTGCAGCCAGCTGGATGACAGCGGATCCCGGCCTCTCCCAGGCCGGCTCCTTCCGGACGCGCCCATCTCCACGCTCGACCCCCCTCGTCTCTCCCCTTCTAGAACTACCCCGGGACCAACTTTGGGGTTTTCTTTCTCCAACCCTTCTCGGCAGGACGGGCTTTAAAGGAAAAGGCGGTAGCGGACGACTAGGAAGTACTGCATGGGTGAGCGTCTAAGCCGCGATGCACCTGTCGGCGCGACACAGCCCACTTGGCCGCGACGCCCCCGGGACAGGCGTCCTCCAGCCAACCGCCCGGCTCGCCCCGCTCGCCCGCTCGCCCCGCCCGCCCCAACTGTCCGCCCGGGTCCCTGTCACGTGACGGGGGAGCGGGGCGCGCCGGCTGCGGCGCCGATTGGCCGGGGCGGGAGCGCGGGGTTTGATGGGAAGGCGTGGGCCGGGCCCTCCGCTCTGTCAGTGGCGGCGGCTGCCTGCTCCGGAGCCCGCTGCGCGGTGGCGGCCGAGGCTGGCCGGGGTGGGCTCCAGCGCCGGGCTTTGCCCTCTTCTGGAAGGTAGGGTGCTCGAGAGGAGGGAAATTGGGGGGTGTTCCGCGGAGGGGAGGCGCGCTGAGCCGTTCCCCGGCTGATGCGCTCTGGATGCCCCCGCCCGGCTCTCCCCGCCCGGCGCCGGGTGGCCTAAGCGCTCTGCGGCGCGGCTGCTGAAACTCGCGCCCCGGTGCTCGCCGCCCCGACCGCGCCTCCTGCGCCCCTGGATTGTGCAGCACAGCGACTGGGGCGGACTTGGTGTGCTGAGATCTCTTTCTCCCCGACGGCAGAGCGGGTTCCCAGCCCTGTTCTCGGGGATTCCGGGAGTCCCTGGGTGGAGCTGGGCGTCGGCCCCAGTTTGGTCCACCTCTGTCGGGAGGGAGGGTCCGGCGCCCTTCGCTGAGCTGCCGCCTTGCTGTTCCTCCCTCTGTTCCTTCCCTGAGGCTTGCGAAGGGGCACGAGTTGTAAAGATAAGGAGGTTGAAAACTGTCAGTGTCATGCTGCTCGGCCCTGGAGTGTGGGCGTGGATTATGTGCAATCTGGAGAAGCTTCTGTGCAAACACCCGTAGTCCTTTGAGGGAGGGAGGGTGGGCGGTGTCGAGGAAAGGGCGAGGCTGTGTAGGTGTCCTAGGTGAGGCAGAAGAGGAGCTGATCTAAAGTACATCAGTTTTAATTCGGAGACGGAGGAGGAGGGGCAGGGGAGAGGATTGGTGAACTCAGTTTTGCTGCTGGTGTCCTCATAGTGCTAAGTAAAGCCTGTGACTGACTGTTGCGGTGCCTCGTGTAGGCTGTTTTCTCTTTTCCCTGTGGCCTGGGTGTCATTGACAAAACCCAGCCCTGTTCGATAGTAGTTTGTATGGATGTGAGTGAACTTGGTTTCGGGCAAATGTGAAACTGGCAAGGAATGCAACTGTTGTGGTTAGTAGCCACCATAATTCCATATTAGGAGGAGCAAGTTGATTTCGAACACTTTTTTTTTTTTTGGTAACAGGAGTGGTGCATTTAAAATTATAATTTTAAGGTTGTCTGTCATCTATTGAGAGCAGACCAATGCTGTTAGTAAACTTATACAGTGTTTATATATTATTAAGCAGAAGGAGAATATAAGAGGAAGAATTTAAGTAATTATAAAACAGGTATGGTTTCATATAGAAATCTTTCTATTCAAATAGTCATTTTGGGGATAGTATTTAGTTCAGAATAAAAGTTGGCCTACCATGAAAACCAGAATTTAATCATCACATCATAAAAGTGTTTTAGAGGTGTACTTTTTTCCCCCAATAATTTTATTTCTGGGCTATAAATGTGGCTTGGGATGTTTTATAATTGCCTTTTCAATTAGGATATTTGAACCCTAATTTGAAATCACTTTCAATATTAAATAGTACTTTGTATTATAGAGGTGCTGTTGTTAGTGATTGCACAGTTTTTATTTCAGATTGGAACTTGATAAACAAAAAACTAAACTTCTTTGCTATTCCCTTTGCTATTTTAACTACAAAGGTTATTTTAATGGAAGAGTTTGTAGAGTTATTTTGTTTGTTTATTTTTTATACTAGAGAAAGAGCAATACAATCTCAGCTATAACACTAATTTTATTTTTCAATTTTAAATTATGAAATAAAAAATAAATAAAATTACAAAATAGGCCCTTTATAAGAAGTTAGAAAGAAATATGTACCATATAAGAAGTTTTGTTTGTACTGCATGTGTTTTCTGGAACTAGTAATAATAATGGCAGTAACTTATGCATTTACTATTTGTTAGTCTGTGCCAAGTGATATCCGAGTGATATATAATTTAATTTAATCTGTACTATTCTGTGAAATGTAGATATTTTTACCACTTTACAAAGTGAGGCCTAGGTAGTTGTTTACCCAAGATTAAATAACTAATATGTGATTGAGTCATATTTTGAATTCAGACCTATTTTTCCCATTCTTTTAATGAGAGTTCAAGTGAATTGAAAAAAATTAAGAATAGCTACTTTAAGGTTTAAAATTCTAACACCCAAGCCACAACTTGTTTAAAAGTTAATTGATACCGCTCAATTAATGTGGGAGACATATATTTACTGTAAAAGACAGTAAATGTGCCTAGCTCTTAAGACCATGTTAGGTCCCATTGTGATATCAGAAAAAAAAAGCTGTCCATGGAAGAGTTCTTGGGGAGAAGCCACTTGAGACTGAGCCATTTGTTCACTCAAGGGCAAACAAATTGACTTATGCTTCAGAAAGAAATGCTAGCTATTTGGTTCTCATGTGTTTTCCTATTTTGAAAGAAGTAGAAATGGACTAGGGAATACCACCAACCACAGCAGTGAAAACATAATTTGTATTGAGAAATTAGTAAATACTGCTGTAAATACTTTAGAATGCATTATGTCATTGAGGCCGTTCAACATTTAAGAGGGTCCTTATCTATCCCTCTTTTGCATGTGAGAAAATTGAGAGGTGAAGTGATTTTTTTGCCCAAGGTTTCATAGCAAGTGATGGGTATCAGAAATTACAGTTAAAAGGTTTGTGTGGAAAGTGTTTGAAAATAGAAGAGGTGAGAAATGTTGTTGTGCCTTTAGAGCTATTGGAAAGTATCACCATTGCATGTGCATTATAGTAAATCAGTTACTTTAACAAATATCAGAATTTGATAGGAAAATCATTGGAATGATGAGGGTTGGCTAGATTCTTTCATTATGAACCTGAAATCATGGATGTGTCATTTAACTATTACCCTAACATTAGAGGACAAATTTAAAAGCACAATCCTCTGCTTTAGGGATCTCAAAACAAAGGCTAAACTTTTAGTTTGTTTCTTTCATACCAAAACAGTTATCCAAGCAAATAATTGATGTCAAAGTTGGTTTTAATTGCAATATTATGCATTCATTTCATATTACACTTATTTTAAAAGTGACATTTGGTGTATGGAATAAACAAAGGTAGTGTCTGCAGACATAGAGTATCAGTTCTGTTCCTACCTGGAGCTACCTGATTTTGGTAAATCATTTAGCTTCTCTTTCATACATATTCAAGCATTCAAATTTAATCAAATGAAGAATTTGGGTTATGTGATACACTGTAATAACACTGTCTTTTGTGTTTATAACTCACTTTCTACTTCAGTAGGTCTGTTTACCAACACCTTGAGAATGTTAGAGCTGCTTTCATATATCTTATAAATATTCCAATATAACCTGATAGAATATAAAGCAGACTTTTTTTTAAGTTTGTGTTACTGGAAATAACTGCTTGCTTTTTAAAATTACAACTAAAATGCTCTCTGGCTCTGCTACTTAGTATCTTTGGAAAATTAGCAAATCTCTTCCCTATCCTCAGTTTCCTCATTTGTAAAATGGGGCAATAGTAAATGATAAAATTCATGTAAAGTGTTTTAGGGCAGCAACATGGATGGAACTTGAAGGAATTATCCTAAATGAAGTGAGCCAGAAGGTGAAAGATAAATATTGAGTGATTTCACTTAAATGTGGAATTTAGAGAAACCAAAGGATCAGACAAAGACAAACTATAAAAGTGATCCTTAAAAGCAGACTTACATCTGAGACTCAGGGGTGGAGAAGGGGAGGAGGAAGGGAGAGCCAGAGTGTGGGGAAGGTGGGGGAGGGGAGTGTGGTGGCGCGTGATCCAGGCCTTTTGGGCTTTTTGGTGGTGGAAAAACTATGGTAACTGCACCTGAGAGGAGAAATACTGTAGTGTGAAAAAAAAATAAACAATGATGTTTAAAAAATAAAAAAAGAAAAATGATATAAGTGGAAAACTGATAAAAGTCAATTAAAATCTGCATTGTACCAATGTTAGTTTCCTGGCTTTGACCCTTAGACTACAATTAAGTAAAATGTTCACATTGGGGAAGCTGGATGAAGATTACATGGGAATCTCTATGCTATTTTTGCATTTTTTTCCATAAGTCAAAAAATTATTTCAAAAATAAAGAGATAGAAATTGAGAAAAATAAAAATTAAGCATGTGAATTCATGTGCTGCAAGTAAAAGTTACACATGAATGTTGATGGCATAGTACACAACAAGGAGTAATATGTTTCATTAATACTTTTATATTGATAATGTTCTCAAAAATAATACACTGATATATGTTGGACATATTCTGTTAAAATAAATGCATTAAGATTGACTGTTTTGTCAAAAAAATGGGCAGAAGAGCTAAAAAGAAACTTCTCTGAAGAGGAAATGCAAATGGCCAACAGGCATATGAAAAAATGTTCAACATCACTTGTAATCAGGGAAATGCAAATCAAAACTACCATGAGATACCATCTTACACCAGTGAGAATGGCACATATTAAAAAAACTAGCAACAACAAATGTTGGTGAGGGTGTGGAGAAAAAGGAACTCTCCTGCACTGTTGGTGGGAGTGCACACTGGTCTAACCACTATGGAGAGCTGTGTGGAGATTTCTGGACCTACTAAACATAGAGCTTCCATATGATCCAGCAATTCCACTCCTGGGTATTTGCCCAAAGGACACAGAAACATCAATTCCAAAGAACACCTGCACCCCTATGTTTATAGCAGCACTATTTACAATAGCTAAGCTTTGGAAACAGCCCAAATGCCCAAAAATAGATGACTGGATCAAGAAGATGTGGTACATATACACCATGGAATATTACTCAGCATTCAAAAAAGATAAACACTTGCAATTTGCAGCAACATGGGTAGTGCTGGAAGGGATCATGCTCAGTGAAATAAGCCAGAAAGAAAAAGAAAAATACCGGATGGTCTCACTCATAGCAGGAATCTAGAGAACTTAAATAAGAGACCAGGGAAAATGAATAACTATAAAATAGTGAAAATCAAAATCAACAAAAAACTATGAACCAGAGACACTTTTTGGGGAGTGGGGGGTAGGGGGGGAGGGATTGGGGTCAGAATGGGGGGGTTGCAAATGTATGGGGGATATAAAAATAAAATTTATTATAAAAAAAAAGTTGAACAAAAAAAATGAGAAATGATGTAAAAATATATAAAATAAAATAAAATAGTTAAAAAAAAAGATTGACTGTTTTGGTTTCTTTTTACTTTTTCTGTGGTTACTTGAAAATTTTGAAAAAAAAGTTTTTTAGGGCCTATTAGAGACTAAGTGCCTAACAAGTGTTTAACTGATGTTATCATTATTGTCATTACTTTCAAATACTAAAAATTCTGATTTGTGATGGCTTCAAACTTAACTTGAAGGCTACAGCTGTGTTCATTTGTACAAAACATTGCGCTAGATACCATATATTAATTCCCAAAGAGTGGGATGTTGTGTACTTTGGGATACCAAATTAGGTTCATTTGAATCTTCCTGCTGCAGTCACCTTTCTTGGTGATTATTTTTAGCATCTTTAAGTTTTATTTTATTTAAAAAAATTTTTTTTTCTGGGACTATCGTTGGTGGCCGGGGATTGAACTGGCGCTGCAGAGGCTGCGGGCAGCTTTGCAGCCCAGTGCTTAACCGCTGCGCCACCAGGGAAGGCCCACATCTTTAGGTTTTAGAGCTACCTGTTCTCTAAACTCAGCAACTTATGTTTTTATTTATTAAAATTTCTGTATTTTAGGAAACTTCATTTGAGAAATTTGAATATTGAAATAATGTTGAAGGATTAATGATATTTAGATTTCAACTTCAATGTGGCTTATTTATTATATTTATGAACTTCGGAATTTTTTAGGATAGATTATAGGTATTTCTGTCCTCAAAAATCACTTTGTGAGAGTATTTTATAATTAGACTGTTAATTCCCTAACAAGAAAGTGCAAGATAGGTAAGTTTTAAACTAATTCCAACCATAAATAGTGTTGGAGAGTGAATGTGCTTACATGATACTGGCATTACTTTGTGATTACATTTATCGTTTAAAAAATAAGAATTATGGCTTATCTAACTTTTTTAGGTGAAAGTGAAGTAGTTTTATACATTGGCATAACTGAAACCTCATAAAATATATGTTTGAAAGTGTACTTTAACTATCTCAACTTAAAAGAATTTCAACTTAAAAAAATTTATATAATTATTGACTGGTAAATTGATTTGCACTATAATATTGCTGAACATATTTCCTTGCATATGGTAATATGATAATACATTTTCCAATCTTAGAGAAAAAGCTGAATGAAGGGGATATAAAGTGAGGTGACATAAGAGATCAGCTAACCTGAGGGACATGTATGCAGTTTCAGAGAGAAATGTTTATTTGGGTATTGAACAGTAGTGGTGGACTAGAAGTCTGAAATAGAATGAATGGCGTTGGGCCATGGTTCTTCTAAGTTATTGGGGAAATCAATAAACCTCTTTGCACTTAATTCCATCTGTAAAATGGTAATAACAAAAATGGTAGTATTGTTAGGGGGAAAAGGATGTCCCAAAGCTAATTCCATATAGGCTTTGTGGACTCCACCCCCACTCCAGGTCAAAGCCAAAGACACTGGGAACTCCAAATCCCATCACCACCAAAGGGAAGTTGGCTGGGACCTGAGGGTGGGGTTAAGCAGCCAGGTGGATATAAAAGGCAGACACGTGGGCTTTGGGGAATCCCCATTTTGGCTCTCCGCCAACTCTCAGCGTCTGGCCAGCTCTGAGAGTGACTTTGGGTTTCCAGGTCGTCAGATCGGGTAGGACGCATTAAAGACTTTATTTCCCTATTTCCTCCCTGAGTTGTACATTTTCCTTATTTCCTTTTCTCTTGTAAATAAACCTTTTTTAACCTTTTGTGTGTGTCTGTAGTAGAGTATTCATAAGTCCCTTTAAAGCGCGCGGGTGAGGACCCACAGCCAGGAACCCGTTTAATATCGGGGTTGCTCTATAACAGTATTAACTCTAATTTTCAGAAAAGAAAATCAAGACTGAAACATTTGTTCAAGATCACAGGCAGCCTTGTAATCTCCTTATTCACAATTCAGTTAACTTTATATTATTACTTGTAAGGTGATGTTATTCTAAACAAGATAAAACAACCCTAATTCCAAATTAACTAGTTTAGTTGGGACACAGCTAATGGTTGTATTTGAACATGTAGAATTAAATGTATAGAATATTTTTCTTAGCATAATAACATAGGATACCCATTTTAAAGGTCAGAAAATCGTGAAGTGATATGAAGTGGTATGAATTTTTAAATGCCTTACCATTTAAAAAACTTTTCCAGCTTTGTTTTCACTTTTTAAAAAATATGTACTGGCTCAGAAAAAAAGGAATATTAAAAAATGGACCCTATCTTAAGGACTGAATTAAATTCCATCTAAATGGAGTCCAAATAAAAATATTTTATATTTTTAGGCAGTGGGCAACATTTAAATTTTACAATGGATGTGCTATAATTAATTTTTTAATTAAAATTTTAAAAATACTTTATTTCTAGCTGCGAATCCCTTTGAACAATTGATGATATTTATTACTGTGCCCAGTTTCTACAAATAAAAGATGGGTGGATTATTTTCTCGATGGAGGGTAAGTTACTTTATAACCTTATCTTAGTCTAACATTAAAGTGTCACATAAAGCTATTTGTAAAAATTTCCTTTGTGATATAGATTTGAGTTGTAGTATGATGTTATTCCTAATTCTGTTTAATGTTTTTCCTTTCTTATAACATATTTGTTTTTCATTTGGGCTTTAATTGTTATACTTGTTATATAGGTGCTGATGTCTCTCTGTTTAATAGATTATTTTGGAATTATTTTTTCTATTCTTATTCAAATGATTATCTTCTTATGCTGCTTAAATTTCACTCTATTTGAAAGATAGTTGAAATTAAATATTCTATACAATACTTATGTTTTATAGGCTATACCTTTTGCTTAAATAGGTTTGTTCAAATTTTTACTCAAGTTACACTAAACGTGCTTTCAGGAATTATAGGTTAAATAAAACTAAAACCATGTTTGATTTTATTGGTTAAGCATTTAGAAAAAAAATCTCAAATTTAGAGCTATAAAATAATTTGATAAATGGCTCTTCTCTAATCTAAGGTAATGTAGTCTAGGATAAACTATTGTACATTGCTTACTTATTTTACTCCTTATTACCATAATTATGGAGTCTAGCAATACTTGCAGGGTACATACTTTAGTTTTTTACTATTGTTGAAACAGCTGTTTTTTGGATTGGCATTTTATTGATCCCCTTTCCCCGGCCCCTTAAAACCTTATTACAATTCTGCCCAAGTATCAAATTTATCTGTTCTTCCTTTGTCTTTCTTGTTAGATTGAACCATGTGAAATTGCCAGTACTTAACAGCGTTGACTTACATAACAGCAATTTCATATGGTTCAACCTAATGTTAACAACTCTTGTGGGAACTAAAATGAATTGATATTCATTGATGTTGAGTGTATAATTGGTAACTATTTTCTCAAGTGTTGTATGAACCATTTTGGTTGACTTTTAATCTAGGTGGTATAAAAATAACTTTGATGACTCTTCTATTTTAAAGTATTCTTAGATGTCCTTTTAAAATCTGATCTTCAGAGGAGTATTTTAGGAATTCAGAATGAAGGTACCTTGTTGATTTTCACCTACAGAGTCCTAAGTGAACTTTTAGCCATAGCAAATCAGACCATCTTTGGTTTGTGAATTTTTTAATACATGAATTCTTTTAAATAATCATATCTATGAAAATTTCTGGGAGGAAAATTTGTTTCTCTCTATACAAATGTGTTCTGTTAGAGCTAAAAAATGGTAAACATTGAGCTCACAGTTGAAAGTGCTTCTAGGACAGAAAGTAGTTAAGTAGGAAAATGCTTAATTCTGTTTGTAATTAAAATTTTTATTTAAATCTAAATCTTATAGATAAATATATAGGAGTCCATGTCACTTAAAATTTGAAAAAAACTAAATTTTGAGTTAAAATATTCTTTTCCTATCATAAATCAAAGAGTTCTAAGTTTGCAGTAACAAGTTTTAATGCTGTCTCATTTCTAACAGACAAAACCTTCAACTGTAGAAGTTCTGGAAAATATAGATAAGGTATGTTCTTTGGCTGTGGGTATTTTAATTAATTTAGGTGTTAAGTAAATATTAATTTCGTATGTATTATTTTGAAGATCAGCTCTGGTATGAGAATTTAAAAATTATAAGCTACACCTGAGAACTTTGATATTGTATGATTTCAAAGTAATCCAAAGTCTACCAGTGATATAAAAATATGTGTTAAGTTACAGAGTATGTTAGAATGAAATTAGATCTACAGCATGGTGTAAATCAGTGTTCCAAATAGGATTAAATCAGTTACAAGATAGTCCGTAACAATTTTTACTAGGCGATAGACTTTACAGCTTTTCATATTTTTGTCACTATCAAAAATTGTTATTCCTTGGGAATATTGAGAGTGATGAATAAACTGAAAGACTCTAGTGTGGTTCTCTTAAGTTTTATTATTTCTTTCTTTTTATGCCACATCTTTTTAAGATCTTTTATAGGGAGAATGAATGCTTGTTTGATTAAACAAATATTGTTTACTGATTCCAGTTTCACAGTTTGATCTATGATTTACTAGGGTAAATTAGTAGCTTAATTTCACATTTAAAAAGTGATTTGACAGAACAGGTATTTTCACTTATTTTTTACTTTATTTTTAGTTTTCTTTTTTGTATTACCTCCTGTTTTAAAATATTAAAGTATTATATGTTACTGAATTTTAAAAGTTTTTCCTATTAACCTATCATGTTAAAATTTGTGGTGACATTTTAATTTCTTTATGAAGTTTGAGATTTAAAAACAATAATTTTCTCTTTACAGGAAATTCAAGCATTGGAAGAATTTAGGGAAAAAAATCAGAGACTACAAAAACTATTGGTTGGAAGATTAATTCTCTACTCCTCAGTTCTCTATCTGCTTACTTGTTTAATTGTATACTTGTGGTATCTTCCTGATGAATTTACAGCAAGACTTACCATGACACTCCCATTTTTTGCTTTCCCATTGATGTAAGTAAATTTGTTCTTTTCTTTAACCTTTTCTCTTTCCAATATATTAATATATTCAGCCTCCTTTTCTTATGAAATAGTAACGTCTTAGATTGAATAAATTTTGCATGGTTTTGCAGTTTGAAAATATTTCTTTAAAACTTTGGGACAACTATTTTAAGCCTTTATAATCTAAGGAATATGACCTAAGGAATATGACCAGTGATATTAGTAATAATGGTTCTTATGGCAATCTTTTGTAATCGCCGCTGATGCTTATATTCCCCTAGGGGTATTGGGAACAGAGTGGACATTTCAGTAGGGCCAAGTCGGGGGAGGATTTGTAGACCAAAATGAACAACTACTTCAATGATTCTGATTCATCCCACTTCTCTCCCCCTCTTTTAGTTACTCCTATAAAGCGGTTGGTACTTATAGAAATATTTTATAGTATAGCACTTAACAAAAGGCATATCTTGATTGAGAATTTTGTTAGATAATTGAATAAAAAGTTTGTTCATTAAGTCAACAAACATGTATATATACCACTTGTCTAGATGTTGAATTATAGAGTCTGTAGCACACAAAAATATGTTATTTTTGACTGTAGATCTTAGGCTGCATATATTAAATGAGCTAACAAATGTGATGAATATTATGAAAGAGAAGTGCTAAATGTTTTAACAGTGTCCCTAATTCAGATTGGGGTAGAGGTGGGGGTCAGGGAAGGGCCTTTGTATTCATTTTCTATTGCTGCCACAAATTTAGTGGCTTAAAACAACACCCACTTATTATATCACAGTTGTGTGTCAGAGGTTCAGGTGGCTTGACTCTATTCTTTACTGGTGTCTTAAAGGCCTAAATTAAGGTATTTGCTGCCTGGGTTCTTAGGAGTTTCTGGGGAGAGAATCTGCTTCCAGGCTCAACCAAGTTCTTAGATTTCTCATGCATCTGCATCTCCTGACTTCCTGTTCTTCCCTTGGATAGGAGAAAGCTTTGCTTTTAGGGGATTAAGTGATTATATTAGACCCATAGGATGATCTCCTTTCTTTTTTTTTTTTTTTTTTTTTTTGACTCCTTAATTTTTTTTTTGAATCTTTTATGGAACTTTATTTTTTTTTTTTTTTTTTTTTAAGATTTATTTATTTGTTTATACAAGCACTGGGTACAGTCAGAAGTGTGGGAGGGTGAGAGAATTCGCCAGAGCCAGAGCGGGGAGCAGAGCAGGCAGAAGGACCGAAGTACACTGCTGAGGGGAGCAGCGGGCGGCAGGAGAGGTCTGCGCGCCATGTGGGACCCTCCTCCGGTGGCCGGGGAGCAGCCGGGGATCGAACCGGCACTGCAGAGTCTGCGGACAGCTTCGCAACCCAGCGCTCAACCGCTGCGCCACCGGGGAGGCCCCCAAATGATCTCCTTTCTTAAAATCAACTGAGTAATAATTATATCTGCAAAGTCTCAATACCTATATTGCTGTTTCATTGTATAGTTAAAGGAGGGAACTCTTAGAGGGGAGAAGCTTTAGAATTTTGCCTACCATAACCTCCCTGAGGAAGTGATATTTGGGTCTGAGACCTGAAGGATGAGAATGTGTATAAAGAGTGGTGCCACATGGTGAGTAGGTAGTGTTTTAGGCAGAAGAGCATACTTGAGGTCTTGCGAGAGGATAGAGCATAATGGGTTTAAAGAACTGAAAAAGGCAAAAAATTGCATTATATAAAAAAGGCTGACTAGCTAGGCAAGGGATATTTCTTGTGGGCCCTATAGTCTATGATAAGGATTTTAGCTTTTAAGAGTAGAGGGAAACATTCAAGATTTTATTTTTTATTTTTTAAAAAGATTTTTATTTATTCATATAAGAACTAGGGTATAGGCCAGAGGTATAGGGGTGAGAGGATTCACCAGAGACACTTTGGGGAGCAGAACAGGTGGATCTAATGAAATACACTGCTGACGGGAGCAGCTGGCAAGACAGGAGAGGGTTAGCTGCGCCATGTGGGTTAGCTTCCAGGTGGGAGATCAAACTCAGGCCGCAGTGGCTGGTGAGAGCTTGATAGTGCTGAGACTTTAACCCCTGCACCACCAGGAGGCCCACCTTCAAGGTTTTAAAAATGGAATATGACATGGTCATATTGTTATTTTGAAAATACCACTGAGGCTACAGCATGGAGAATAAATTAGAGGGAAATAAGATTGGACCTGGAGTGGCAGGTTAGAAGGTTATTATAGTTGTCTTGGAGAGAAATGCACTTGTGTGGGGTTGAGGAGGGTTGAAAAGAAGAAGATGGACAGAATGAAGTAGCTGGATGAAGACATTTAGGAGCTAGAACTGAGGAACACTTGGGGATTGGTGCATGTAGGTGAGGGAAGAATTGTATCAAGTATAAAATTCAAGTGTTGATGTGGGAAAAGTGGTTGATTGCAGTGTCATTCATCTAAGTAGGAAGCAACATGAAGAGGAACAGTTTTGGTAGACCTATTTTCTATCCAGATAGAGCTGCCAATTTGAGATGGGTAAGTATGAGTATGAAGCTCAGGAGAGAAATTTGAGTAAGAGATATAAACTTAGGATTTGGCAGCTTATGAATGTTAGTCAAAGCCACCCTCTGTTCCTTCAGTAAATATTGGGCACTTGCATTGGTTAGGTACAGGGCTAGACCCTACTGATTAAGCAAGTAGTGGCAAAATCTCTGCCTATGGAGTTTATGTTCTTTTGGGGTTGGACAGACAAAAAATTAGAGGCAAATAATCAGTTAATTTAGTGAGAGAGAGATGTTATGAAGAAAATAAACAGGGTGATGATCTAGAAATATATTACTTTGGGGTGATCTTGTTATACATTTTTTGAGGAGGTGGTTTTTTGAGTTGAGAACTAAAGGATGAGAAGAGGCAGTGTGGAATAAGTTGGAATTTATGAGAGATTATTTGAACATACAGAGAAATGTATGTTATAGAGAAATGTATAAAATGATTATCTCCAAAACACTAATGGTAATTCTCTCCAGGTGTTGGAATTTTAAATAGTTATTTTTTTACATAGACTTTTGATATTGTTTGAATTTTTTACATCAATGTGTTGTTTAGTTCCAAAATCAAAAGCAGAAATCTTAAGAGTCGAGGGAATATTTTTCCAAGAGGAAAGAACAGAAAATGTGAAGACTGACATTCATTAGAATATATAACTGCATCAAAGTAACATGCTGTGCAAAATGTAACAACAAATTTATGAAATAATGCTGAAAATGAGTTGCAAAATTGTGAATTAAGAGAGAGCATGCCTCACTTGAAGGTCAAGAAGATAGGTGTATCTGGAATGTATAATGGACATGAAGAGTGATGAAGAATCAGGTGGAATCTAGATCAGGGAGGGTGATGGTGAGTTTGCATTTCATTGTGGGTGAAATGGGACGTTTGTAAAGATTTTGGTGGAAGAATGGCATGATGAGATAGAAGTTGAGAGGATCATGTATGTTGCCTACTGGGTATTGGGTAAGAGTAGGACAAGAGTAGAAATAGGGAAATCAGCTAGGAAGCTGCTACAGAAGTTTAAAGATGTAGATGTGGTGGAATGCCTAGTGGGAAATTTTGGAAGTAAAACTGAGACAACCTGATGGGAGGAAATGGTGGTAGGGAAAAGGGCAATGCTTGTTGTTGTTATTGCTGTTATTATTATTGTTGTTGTTGACATTTGGGAGGATAGGATCTTTTTCTTTGGGACTTATAGTAGAAAATATTTTGTTTATTTAGTATACAGTCAAGGGCATATTTTCAAATTGGAACTCCTAAGGCTCATAAAATTTTAGCTTTGTATGAGATGGAAGAACTGAAAATTGAGTGCATATGTAGTACTGCAAAATAATTGTCTCTGCCCTTTTCTTTCTTTCCCTTCTATTATGAAATCTTTTGGAATGCTTCCTATCCTGGTTTGAGTAGTAGATTTTATAATGTTTTCTTTCTATTTTTTTTTCATCAAGAGAGGAAAGAAAACAAATGCAATAGGTCAGAGATATTTAGTTGATTCAAACATCTTTAAAAACATAAAAAAGTCCTCTTGTAACCCATTTCCATGTAATAATTGATTTTATGATTATAAAAAAATTTATATCTAACTGCAAAAGAAAGAGAGTGAGCTGTTAATTCTAATAGCTATGCACAACTTGTGATCTACTGGATTTGCTATGACTCAGACTGACCTGTTTTGGGGACTAAATCATACATTATTTGTTTTTAAAAGCAGAAAACTTAACTTCTTAAAGGATTTTCATAATTTCTTGTTTGGTTTTTCTACTGTCCTAATATGTAGCTTTATTTATTTATTTTTTCTACATAGACCTTTTAATATCAGGTATTGGATTGTCTGTGGGTTGGATACAACAGTGCAGTTACTATAGTCAGACATTGTGACATAGTCCAAAATAGTTGGAACTCCATTTTTTCCCCCCTTTTATGTTTTTAAATTTATTTATTTATTTATATTTTACATCTGTTTTTTTCATTTTCTTTCCAATATTTGCTTTCTTTTCCCATAGAATTTCCACCACCAGTTCACCTGTGCACCATCACCATAGTCCCTTGTGCTCTTCCCTCCCTCTTGTTGATCTCTTTCCCTCTCTCTCCCCTGCCTCTGATTTATAGTTGTCTGTTCATTTTTGTTTGTTATTTTTTAATTGTTATCATTTTTTCCCTAATGCCTTATTTGGTTCTCCTATATTACTCCTGTAAGTGAAACCATCCTATATTTTTCTTTTTTCTTCTGACTTATTTCACTGAGCATAGTCTCTTCTATCTCCATCCATGTTGCTGCGAATGGCTTTAGTTTCTCTTTTTGATTGCTGAAGTAGCTTTATTGTTCTTATTGTGTATCACTCTGCCTGTCCTGTATCAGTTGTATCTAGTATTTCTAGACTTGTTAATCTTTAAAACCATTTCTCACCTGGTCTCATTCATATTTGTGGCCTGGTTCTTAACAGTTGCAGCTCCTATTTCAGTGAGCTCTTCACTTTTGGAAGCATAGATCAGTTATCAACAAAGAATAGAATTGTCCTGATTGATGGCAATCAAAAAAGCATGAAATAAAATACAACAATGTGAAGGTGGAAGGTGGATGTTGTGGTAAGAGAAAACTTAGCACTGAGCATTTTTTCTTTGTGTGTAATTTGAACTACATTGTCTAAGCTTTTATCCCTGGACTTTTTTCCTTTGAAAACCAAAGTTTTGAGAGCTGGACCAGGAGGCAGAAGGAGCAATAAAATATACTGCTTTACTCATCAGCTTATAGCTATAAACCTTATAACTACAAAAAGTGACTCCTGTCTGTGAGGTCTGTGTTTCCCAAATACTTTTACCGAACAGAGAGATTGTGGGTACAGCACTGAGAATATCTTGTATAATCACAACTGTTTCAAAATCATCTTGTGTAGTAGAATATCAGTAAAAAATTTTATTACAGGGCCTTCCTGGTGGCCCAGGGGTTAAGTCTCAGTGCTGTCACTGAGCTGGCCCACAGCGAAGGCCTGAGTTCCATCCCCTGGCCAGGGAGCTAGCCCACATATGCACAACAGACCTCTCCTGTCTCACCCTCTGCTCCCCTTATCAGTGCATTTCAGTAAATCCCTGTGCTCTGCTCTCCACTCTATCTCTGTTGAATCCTCTCACCCCCCTACACCTCTGGCCTATGCAAAAATAAATAAATAAAATCTTTAATAAAACAAAAAATTTTTATTGCATCTTCTTTTCAGGATTCAATATAGAAGAACTTGATGATTCCAACCTTTTGTTTTTCTGCCTTCAGATTCAGTAGTACATCTCTCATCTCTACTATTATTGAAATTTAAATTATAATCTTGATGCTGAACTTTGTGGGAGTCATGCTCCATAATGGGGGACAGTTTAGGTTATAATTAAATTTTGAATTTCCACATTATTTTGGCAGAGTTTGGTTCATTTTCTAGGAGTGAACAACCCTTAAACTTTGTTTCTACCTGTAACTAATCCTGCAAGCCAGTTTACAGACTTTTATTCCTGGATTTCTTATTCTTATAGATTATAATTTTCTAGAAATTTCATTCTCTGTAAGATCATTTCAGAGACCAATTATCATAAAATGCTGGTCTTCTCAGAGGATTTTTTCACTGTTATATTTTTTTGCCTTTTAAAATGGAGTTATAGGGAAGAAATTTTAATAAAGGAACTGAGGGAAATGATCTTGTCCCTGTTTCTTATGCTTTCCTGTTTTTCTACATATATTGAGAGTCATTAAGGATAAGGGTTTCGTTTTATGCAACTTTATGCTTCCTTCCCACACCCCCTTCTATCAAGAAGAACACAATAGACAGTTCCTCAATCCAGATAGGAGGTTGCTGATAAATGTAATTTGTAGCATTTTGAAGAAAGTGAAACATTTGTTTCATAGCACTTAATAAGAATACAAAATATCTCTTGTCAACTATAGTCTCTTAAAGGAGAAGTATCCATGAGCATCTTTTGATATTTACTCGAGGAAATAGATGTTCTCAGTTTTAGTAGGTAAAAAATCATTTTGCAGGCATCTCTTTTTATTGATATTTGAATTTTGATAGATTGCCATTTGATTTTGTACTTTAAATATAAGAATTATGTGCTGAAATATAATAGACAAATCTTGTTCTTAGATGGGAAGACTCAGTATTGTAATGAGATTTGTTGTTCTTGAATTACTCTAAAGTATGATTGCAATAAAAAATTAAATTTAAAGAATTTAGGCACACTTATTCCGCAGTTTTTATTTTCTTTTAAATATTTATTAATGCATACAAGAAATGGGGTACAGGCCAGAGGTGTGGAGGGTGAGAGGATTCACCAGAGACAGAGTGGGGAGCAGAACAAGTGGATCTACTTAAATACACTGCTGAGGGGGGGCAGCCCAGGAGCCTGGAGAGGTCTGCTGCGTCATGTGGGTAGCTCCCTGGCTGGGGATCAAACTCATGCTGCAGTGGTTGCAGATGGCCTCATAGGTTGCGTCCTAACCCCTTGCACCACCAGGGAGGCCCTATTCCACAATTTTTAATGGAAAAATAGTCTTGAAAATTCTATAATAAGGAGAGAAATGAGAAGCAAAGGTTCTATCTGGCATCAAGTGCATTAGAAGACTTCATTAATTGAAATTTTGACATAGTGTGCAGACATACAGACCAAAGAAAGACACAAGCATCCAGAAATAAATTGCCCAAAGATTTTTGAATATATGGTTTTTATATATGATAAGATGACAATTCAAATCAGTGGGGGAGATGGCATTGCATCATATCAAAAAATATAAGACATTTTTATCTTATTCCCAATAACAAAATGAATCTTTATTAGTAGTTTGTCTGAATGTGAAGATAATTCTTGCTAATACCTTTGATGGTAAAGTAAACTGACAAAATAGTCTAATTGATTATAAATATTGAGAACTGTATAGCTCTTCATTTTGGTTTTATGTGTTGATAAATATCATTAGATGTTTTTTCAATAAATTGGATAGGATTTATGTGGTTGCTGGAAAGAGTGCTTATGGCAGGAATAATGAAATAGGTTAGAAGTTCTTCATACATGAAGCCTGATAAAAAACCATCAAAATTTATGCAATGTTAATATTTTAGTAAAAATGAGGAAGATTAGATCAATATTGAGTTTAAGGTCTTCTGCTGTATTTAAATATTTTTCCTTTTAGTACACTGAAGCACTGAATTTTTCTTTTCTTTTTTCCTTTTCCTTTTTCCCTTTTCTTTTTTCTTATCTCCCTTCCCTTAGGACAGTTTTCAGTGTCTTTTTAGTGTTTAGGTAGTTGTCCAAGTACCATATAGAAGTTTACTTATAGAAATCCAGTACCTGTTATTTTGTGTTTTCATATCATAACAATAAATTCTCATACTATAAAAAGTATTATTTATTACTGTGTAACAAATTGTGCTAGAATTTAGTGGCTTTAAAGCAAATGTTTATTCTTTCTCACAATTCCTGAGGGTCAGAAAAATAGGAGCATCTTAGTTTGGTGATCTGGCTTAGGAGCTTTTATTCATATATTATATGAATTGCAAATAAGCTGTTGGTTGAGGTTACTGTCATCTCAAGGTTGGAGAATGTACTTCTAAGTTCCACTTGTAGTTGTTGGTAAACCTCAGGTCCTCTCTGGCTGTTTGCCAGAGACCTCTGTTCCTCACCACATGGGCTTTTCTATAAAGTTCCCAAAATGTCCTCATGGCATAGCAAATGACTTCCTTCAGGGCAAATTATCCAAGAGAGAAAGATAGCAGTGAAAGAGGAGGTCCACACACAGTGGAAGCTGCAATCTCTTATAACCTAATCCTGAAGTGACATACTATCACTTCTGCCACACAATAATGGTCACACCTACCAACATTAGTGGGCTAGGACTACACAAAGATGTGAATACAAGGAGACAGGGTTCACTGGTGGCTAACTTGCCGGCTTACTCCCAAGAATAGCAATGATATATTTCAGAGAGAACTGATTTTCATGCTTATAGTCAATACAATGTATTTTTTAAAAAATGATGAATAATGTTTGCATATGTATTTTTGTTGTGTTCTATGAAGACAGGTATTTTTCTGTATTTGCATTAAATTTAAGAGCTGTCCTTGACAAGTTTGTGATTGGGGTCATTTTCTCTTAATTCCTTTAATATCATTTGATGCATTACTAATGTAAGTCTTGTAGAATTTTCCTCATAAAATCTTAGAAGGAAGTGTTTAGCTGAGTTTACTTACCAAGTGTTTATTTGAAGATAAGATTTATTTTTCTCTCCACATAGTTCCTATTGGGTAGAGAAGATCCCTCCAATGTTTAACAGGGAAGGAGTAGCTACTTATATTTATTCAGTTTCAGGATTTGTAAAACATGCTTTTTTCTTAATGCATAGGAATATTCCGGCAAGCTTTTGGAGTTGATGCTTTCTTTGTAAGAGGGATTCTATAATATTGTTCTTAATCTTCTGCGAGTGCTGTGGTGGTTCCTAGACCCTTTTGATTATGATGAATGCTATGGTCTCTCCAGAGAAGTGCACTGATACATACAATGACAATTTTGCAGTTCAGGGAGACTCTGAGACTATCCATGGGTTTTAGATTGAGAATGCTTCCTTTCAAAGCACAGGTAGACTTCTGATGTTTTCTGAAAGATTTTTGATTTTCAAAATATGAGGGAAACAATGTTGAAAATGTGTATTTGTTTTCATTTTAATATGATTTTGAAGCCAACTATCCTACTTATGTTTTTTTGTTTCTGAAATTTGCTTCTTCTATAGCATCTGGAGCATAAGAACAGTGCTTATTTTCTTCTTTTCCAAGAGAACAGAAAGAAATAGTAAGTTTAATTTCTAAGTTTTTATAAATACATTTAAAAAGCCCATTTTACAGTATACTGGTTTGTGATAGAATGGCATGTCATGAAATGGTCTACTGAAATGATGTGGCAAATAGTGAAGAGTTGTTTACAACATGTAAAACTTAAAGGTTGAATGATCAAGTTCTGTTTTTGTGTTCTTTTCACCATGTTTATTTAGATATTTCAAATATAAAACAATAATGCATTTTTTTAACCAAGAGAAATTATTTTTAATCTTTTAAAACTATGTTTTTACATAATACAATATAGTTATACATCTTTTGATTAGTTTTATTATTTGCATTAGTTTTCTTATTTGCACTATCTTTTTAAACTTCAAAACCCCTTGACTTGTTTTTATTGAAATATGCAAATTATGAAAAAATCTCCTGTCTATTTTCTGTATATGTACAGATTTTAAATATTTTGAGGTCTTAAAACTGTGAGTTATAATTAACCAAAGATGTATACATTTTCATTTTAAATGAACTTTGTGACTTTTTTCTTTTCTTGTTTTAACTTTCACTACAGAAAAATTTAGACAAATACAAAAGTAAACTGAATAATATAATGAACCTTAGTGTACTTATCAAAAACCTAACAATTATCAACTCATGGTTAATATTGCTTAGTTTTTACCAACACCTACTCCTCCTTCTGTATTATTTTTAAATATATCCCAGGTGTCTTCCCATAAGAGACTTTAAAAAATATATAAACACAGGGGACCTCCCTGGTGGTGCAAGGAGTTAAGTCTCAGAACTATGAAACTATCAGCAGCCACTGCAGCATGAGTTCAATCCCCAGCCAGGGAGCTAACCGACATAGCACAGCAAACCTCTCCTGTTTCCCTGCTGCTCCCCTCATTGTAAATGATGTCCTTTTTTTTTTTTTTTTTTTCAAGATTTATTTATTTATGCATACAAGAGCTGGGTTTGCAGGCCAGAGTTGCAGGGGTGAGAGGATTCACCAGAGACAGAGTGGGGAACAGAACAGGCAGACTGACTGAAATACACTGCTGAGGGGAGCAGTAGATGAGACAGGAGATGTCTGCCTCACCATGTGGGTTGCTCCCTGGCTGGCTGGGGATTGAACTCATGCTGCTGAGGCTGTGGATTGCTTCATAGTATGGTGCTTTAACCCCTTGTGCTACCAGGGAGGCCCATAAATGATGTCCTTTGAAGTATTCCACTATGCTAAGCTAAATAAGCAGACAAATCTTAGAAATGCTTAATTTTGAAAAGTAATTAGTATTTCTTTCCTTTTCAAGATCTTCCTCAGATATATATATAGATTTTCAAAAATTCTTCTTTCTTAGTGCTCATTATCTTGAAGTTTTAATTATTTAACAAAATAAATTATAAGCCTCTTTCCTTATAAGTAGGGAGAACATCTTTATTTCCAAGCATGAAGAAAAATTTGGTATTCATTTTATAAATAAAATATGTGGGATGTTGAAAGGAAGGAAAAGTAATAGCCATGTTTCTGAAAATATAGTTTTAAATTTGGAAAAGTGTTTTATGTAGAGTCCATTTTTTTCATACTTGCATTGTATAATTAAGGCTAATATGAAGTATATATGGTAAAGGCAATTTTTGTGTCCATCAGTAAAATTTAGAGAAATCCTAAAATGAGAAAGTTTTCTTGCAGTTTATTAATGTATATAATTTGGCATGATTTTTCCTTATGTCTAAGCCTCTTAATAACTGATTTGGCTTTGATTTAAATCTTGTTTTTTAGATGAAGCCTTGGATGATTTAAAATCCCAGAAGAAAAAAATAGTAAGTTAACTTATTTAAAGTTAATTTGTATAAAATAAATACATTAAAAACTGAATAATTAATGTTTATATGTTACAAATAATGACTCTCAAAGGAACAAACATGCTTTTAGATAGCATTTTAATGATGAAGCTAAATTACGAATATTTTGATGGTTAAAAATGATTGACAGGAAAGAGTAACTAGATGGACATATGCAGTTCTGAGAATCTGTGTCAGTTAGAAGCTGAAGTAAATGAATTATACTGGAGAACTAAGTGAGGTAGAGGGGATAAAAAGCTGGTTGTCCAGGTTTATTATTAGGCCCATGAAAGAATAAAAAATTTGCATGTCTACTCTCAGATTTTTGACACCAAAAGTCCAGAAAAGAGAGCATGAAGAAAAGATTGGTTATAAAAGGAAAATTTTATGTGAAAAGGCTGAAAGAAGGGGGGGGAGAAGATTTTCATTTGATTTCTTTAATTTTCTGTCAGTAACATTGATCACATGGTTCTGTATTATGGGGCCAATTAAATGCATCCTTTAGCTGTGTTGGAAAAAGGACTAACAGTGAGACATAAAGGACCCTAGATATTTAGAAGTAGATATAAAATAGCTCTAATAAGTGAATTGAACTTGGTATTTGACTTGAATTTACATATCTTCTTTCATATAATTATTTTTGAAGTGTGAAAATTTTTATTGATAGCAACATCATATTATGTGAAAACTTTTTAAATAGAATTCAATCAAATGATCAATGTATTTTAGTCTCACATGTAACAATTATGTGTGAAGCTATTAAAAATTATGAAGGGTAAGATTAATGTTAATTATTCTGTGAATTGGTAATAAAAGATACTGTTTTGAAAGAAAAGTCTTGAGGTTTTCAAAGGACTTGAAAAGCAAAGGAAATTTAATTAGAAAGAATTCCTTATTTTTTTTGTTTGTAGGATGCTGCTTCAATATTCTGTGACCTATTTATCAAAATTGCATTGACATTCTTGATAGTCCTAAATTGAAACAGAATATTCCCATTGTATCTTATTATATTTCTGGCATTATGTACATTATGGAGCAGCCAGAAATTCAAGGTGAGGAAATACTGATTGTTCTCATTAATACAGAAGTTGTGATATGGTTGATTTGGTTTGTTGATGTGATAAAAAGAAGAGCTGGTAGTGGTGATCATAGCCAAGCCATACCTGGAGAAAGAGTAAAGTAGAAAAGACAAGGAGGAAGAAAATAGGAAAACAAAAAACAGAAAAAAACTGAAGAATGTTAAGTGATGAGAAACCAACCCAATGTCAGTGGCATCAAATCATCAGAAAACAGAATTTTGGAGAACACAGGATTGAGGAAAAACTCAATAGAGAACAGGGCAATCTTGGAAAATTTTGTTTTAGGGCAAGCCAAGCTATTTACTTCTCTCTTTAATACCCTTTGTAGGAGTCACAACATAAAAGCCTTGATAGTTGGGAAAGTCACTTCAGGGTTCAATAGTTGTGTGTATCTAAATGGTTCATGAGGTATCAATATTACAAAATAAGTTAGTATGGCATTTCTCTAACAGTATGAGTAAAGAAAGTAAGTTGGCTGCTCTAACCCATTTTATTAATAGGGAACACAATTTGCATTGATTTGATTGATGTTGGCTTAATAGTATTGCTTCTGGGAACTAGTCCCTGGGACTTTATTGCTCAAGTCCTTAACAAAACTGCCTTGTTTGAGTAGATTTATAGTTTGTTTAGAACAATAAGTGCTAAGGGTGACATAATGAGTCACCTGGTAGTGAAAGGAAAAATGAAGAACATAGCTTTGAGCAAAAGCTAGCTGTAATCAAAACCAATTTTGTTCATTCACATTTAAGTTCAAAGTTTACATTTATAGTCTTTTTTTTTAGATTTATTTTTAATTATTTATGCATACAAGAGCTGGGGTGTAGGCCAGAGGTGCGGGGGGTGGGGGTGGCGGGGGAGGTAGGGAGGTATAGAGGGTGAGAGGATTCACCAGAGACAGACTGAGGAGCAAAACAGGCAGACTGACATACACTGCTGAGGGGAGCAACAGGTGAGGCAGGAGGTCTGCTGCATCTTGTGGGTTAGTAACATGGCCCCTGGTATCAAACTTGGGCATCAGGCATTGAACTTGTGCTGCAGCAGCTGCAGATTGCCTCACAGTCCTGAGACTTAACCCCTTACACTACCAGGGACACCCTACATTTATAGCTTTAAAAAATTGTTTTTTATTGTTGAAATCCTGCAGGAAAAATAAATTCATTTGTATAAAACTATCCAACTCTTAATTCTCTTTCATTAACAAAAGTTAGTACAAGATAAGATATACTTGCTACTTCGTTTTACTAAAGGTAGTTTCCATAGAGATACAGCTCTTTAATCTGAGTAGAAGTGTGGTTTGTAACAATGTGCATGAATTAACAATAGATTAAAAAATTAATTATCTAGAAAGAAAAATAAATAACATCTTGTTTTAAATTTTAAGATTTTAATGTTTTCAATCTAAGAACTTAATGTAAATATTAATTTGTTAAAGTTAGGAATTAGTCTTTACTGATCTAAAAAAACTCCCAAGTATGGAGTTGGTCTTTTTAAAAAATTTGGTTTTTCAAAAAGTCACTGTTCCGTAGATAATTTCTCTGCATTTGTGAACATCCCATCAAAACAGCAAAACAGAGATCCATCAAGATATATGAGTTAAAATGACCTCCTTAAGTGACTTCATGAAGATTTTTTGATTTTTTTTTAGAATAGTTTTTCTAGGTAGTAGTTCTTTTCTCAGGAAATTTTTTATTTTCTGGGTTCTGAGTACCATAAAATTTAAAGTTGAAGATGCTTTTGAGTACTCTTAAAAATTTGACCAAAGTCAATGCAAAATGAAAGCATTTTTCTATATCTAAAAACGTTATCATGAAACAAAGATAAAAAATATTGCATAGGGCAATTAATGTTTTAAGATTTTATTTCTAAAATGATAATTTAAATATTAAGTGTTTATAGAAGTATCTTTCAAAATTAAAAAATTTGACATTTATGTTGTGTTCGTGTTCTTTTAATGTTGTCTATGATGAAATGTCTAAAAATGGTAGAAGTAATTTTTAATAATAATAAAGTTATATATTTTATCAAAACATAATTTTGTCAAAATAATTTTGATTTATAGTAACAACTATTTGCTTCTTTTCTTTTTTCAATTAAGAAATATGGGCCTCCCCGGTGGCGCAGCGGTTGAGCGCTGGGCTGCGAAGCTGCCCGCAGCTTCTGCAGTGCCAGTTCCATCCCCGGCTGCTCCCCGGCCACCTGAGGAGGGTCCCACATGGCACGCAGACCTCTCCTGCCGCCCGCTGCTCCCCTCAGCAGTGTACTTCGGTCCTTCTGCCTGCTCTGTTCCCTGCTCTGGCTCTGGTGAATTCTCTCACCTTCCTGCGCTTCTGACTGTACCCAGTGCTTGTATAAATAAATAAAATAAATAAATAAAAATAAAATAAAATAAATCTTTAGAAAAAAAAAAGAAATACCCTGAAACTTTTAGTATATCATAGAAAAATGATGTACTCTTTGCTATAGCATTCATTATCACTTAAAATATATAAACATTTATGAAACATGCAGAGTAATTATTTTTTAATAATTTTTATATTAATATTTTTATTTTTTAATTTTTTTATAGTTCCGATGAAGTTCTTAAATTAGCAACATTATAAAGTTTATTTATTTATTTTTGTGGGACCCCCACCAGCAGCCAGGGAACGAACCGGCGCTGCAGAAGCTGTGGGCAGCCTCACAGCCCAGCGCTCAACCGCTGCGCCACCAGGGGAGGCCCAATTTTTTTATTTTTTACATCATTGTTCATTATTAAACAATATTTGCTCCCCCCCTCAAGTGTAGTCCCCAAGAGTTTCCTTCACCAGTGCACCAGTGCACCATCACCTCAGTCCCCTGTGCTCCTCCCTCCTTTCCTCTGATCCCTCTCCCTCCTCCTCCCCAATGCAGAGTAATTTATAATTTAGAGAATTCTGATAATCCAGTTTCTCATTTCTAAATCTGGGATGACAATGTTGGATATTTGGAAACATTGTTTCAGACTCATTCTGAATAATTGAAGATTGTTGTATTAGGTACTGTTGTGGACTGTCCTACATACTATACATATTTAAATTGTACAATAATACTATGAAGAAAGTTTTAATATATCTGTTTTAGAAAAGTAGAAACTGAGGATAACAGACTTGTTTAAGGTCTTTTTTTGCTAAATAAGAATGGAGATGCGCTTTGAAACTCAAATCTTTTCTGACTTCAAAGTTTCAAGTTTATATTCTCTCCACTGATCAAAATTTCTATTTAAAACAAGTTATCCATTTAAAATGTTGTGATGGTAAGCGTGTTCATGAAGCTGTTTGTTTTAAGTAACTTTTTGTTAGAAGTAAATTCAAAAGGAGAATGGAGTTTTAAAAGTGATTTTAAACACATAAACATTACTACCCATTGAATGACATGCCAGGAATTGGGGTCATTCAACCAAGTGACATTTTAGTTTTGAGTTTTGTGTGATTTTAAAGATCACAGTTGTATCTAATCTTCTTTTTAAACCTAGTAATAGTTTTAGTCTAGAAGTGCGCTATCCAAAACAGTAGTCACTATAGCTCCATGTAGCTTTTAAACTGACATTATTAAAAATGAAATAAACTAGTTTAGTTCTTCAGTGGTACCAGCAACGTAGCTTAGTAGCTACTGTATTGTGCAGATATAAACCATTTCCTTAATTACCAAAGTTCTTTTGCTACACTTGTCTAAAACATAAATTAATTTGTAGAGATCTACCAATTTTTGATATTTTGTATAGATTATTTTGGCATATATTTTATCATGACCTCTTTCTACACCCCACCCCCAGTATCTAAAGAGATACATTTCCTTTACATCAGAAAATTTACTTGTTTGGAGAATTTATCATACTTCTGAAATAATTAGAATATTTTAGTTTCACTAAACCAAGTAAATCATTCATTTAAGCACTTTAGTTCTTATATGTTAAGTATTTTATGAGGAATCTAATAACTACAGTGGCAGCGTATTTTAAACTATTGGTAATGTGCTCTGTATTACATTATAAAATAGATGTCCTTTGAAATAAATATAATATTTAATGAATCTTACATGGCTATCAGTGGTTATTGAGAAGGAAAAGTTCCCTTTCCAATTTTTACAAAAGCATTTTGTTCTACACACTAGCTATTTGTCATAAATATGACTGTCTTGTACTAAAGTTAAACTTTTTCTGATATTGGCCTGTAACTTCTAAACTGATACTTTACTAGTGATTACTTTTTAAATTAAACCAATGTATTAAGCCATAAAGTGATTTGAGTACATTGTAAATAAAATGCTATAATAATGAAGTATTTTAATTAACAGTCCCTAATGTGATCATAGAACTCAGTAAAATTTTTACTTAAATTCTTACTCTGTTTAGTATTTTTCACTTTAAAGTTGCTTGAACCTAAGCAAAAAGGGGGAAGCTTTAGCTTTTAAAAATCACTTGAACAAATTCCATGGCTGTTCTCCCAGTTAGTGAATTTTCACTGCATTTGCAGTAAGCTAATTGCTTCTGCTAATAAATAATCTAAAATCAATGCTGACAGCAGTTAATTGGCACAGAGATTTTATTTTGTAAAGCTCTTGGCTAACGACCTTCTTTAAATTAATAGCACTAAATGCTATGAGGAAATAAATCTAAGGAATTGCCTGTCATTTGCTTGTCATGTCTAATAACTTCCAATAATGACGGCTGATAGATTTTTGCACATTCCATTATTGAAGTTGGTGCATGTAATTATTCTCCTCATTATATGTAAACAATTAGCAATATTTGGTATTTCCTAGCAGTAAAGCTGTTAAATACAAGTAACATATTAGAGGTTAGAAGCCATTTTAAAATCTGGATTTTAATTATTTGAATGTAGGAAGTCTTTCATGCTATCTGGATATATTATATACTGTTTATTTTAAGCCTTGTACATGAGCACTTTTGTGTAGGACGTATAAAAATAAGTAGTGTGTGTTTTAAAATGTGACAATTTATGGAATTTTTTTTTTCAGCTTGAAGAAGTCATGGAAAAAGAAACTTATAAGACAGCTAAATTAATACTGGAAAGGTTTGATCCAGATTCAAAGAAAGCAAAGGTAAGGCTGTGATATCACTATTATTTTATTATAAATTACACATTTAATAGGTCACTGTAATAACATTATTGTAATTGACAGGAGATTGAGCCGCCATCTGCTGGAGCAGCTGTAACTGCAAGACCTGGACAAGGTAAATAACTTTGTAGAAACTGCTGCTGCTGTTGGAAAGATCCATATTTATCCAAGTGAGTTCAAAAGTGTGATAGAGGTGTGTAAAAACTTATGTAGAATGCTTTTATGTTAATTTATATTTGGCAATTTGAGATATGACTTACATAATAAGTTTATTTCATTTTGATTTTGACAGGAATATGTTGATAAGATGTTGAATATCTGAGATTCAATAAATAATTATTTTTGAAAATTCACTTTACTAACATTTTATAAGGCTTTCCCCCCTTCTGTTATTATGGAAATTATTACATCTTTATGATTTATTTTTGAGGACAATTAACCCATCTAACCTGATAGCCACTCCCTTTTGTAATGACTTTATCTTTTGAAAAATTTTTTTTAATTATAAATTTTATTTTTATATTCCCCATACAATTGTGACCCCCTTATTTTGACCCCAATCCCTCCCTTCCCCACCCCCCACTCCCTATAGAGTGCCTCTGGTTCATAGTTGTTTGTTGATTTTGATTTTTACTTTCTTATAGTTATTCTTTTTCTTGGTCCCTTGTTTAAGTTTTCTAGATTCCTGCTATGAGTGAGACCATCGGTATTTTTCTTTTTCTTTCTGGCTTATTTTGCTGAGCATGATCCCTTCCAGCTCCATCCATGTTGCTGCAAATTGCATGTGTTTATCTTTTTTGAATGCTGAGTAATATTCCATGGTGTATATGTACCACATCTTCTTGATCCAGTCATCTATTTTTGGGCATTTGGGTTGTTTCCAAAGCTTAGCTATTGTAAACAGTGCTGCTATAAACATATGGGTGCAGGTGCTCTTTGGAATTGATGTTTCTGTGTCCTTTGGGTAAATACCTAGGAGTGGAATTGCTGGATCATATGGAAGCTCTATGTTTAGTAGGTCCAGAAATCTCCACACAGCTCTCCATAGTGGTTGGACCAGTTTGCACTCCCACCAACAGTGCAGGAGAGTTCCTTTTTCTCCACACCCTCACCAACATTTGTTGTTACTAGTTTTTTTACTATGTGCCATTCTTACTGGTGTGAGATGGTATCTCATGGTAGTTTTGATTTGCATTTCCCTGATTACAAGTGATGTTGAACATTTTTTCATATGCCTGTTGGCCATTTGCATTTCCTCTTCAGAGTTTTTTTTTAGCTCTTCTGCCCATTTTTTGACTGGATTATTTTCTTTGTTTTTCTTGAGTCTCATCAGCTCTTTGTAGATTTTTGTGATCAATCCTTTATCATTAGTGTGGTGTGCAAAAATGTTCTCCCAGTCTGTGGGGTTTCTCTTTGTTTTTGTTATTGTCTCTTCTGCTGTGCAGAAGCTCTTTAATTTGATGTAGTCCCAGCTGTTTATCTTTGCCTTCTGAAAATGTTTTAGATTTACAGAAAAACTGCAAAGTCATTACAAAGGGTTCCCATATATACTTGTGCCAAGTTTCCCCCATTATTAGCATCTTAAGGCAGTACTTTTTGGTTCAAATTATTGAACCAGTATTGACTCTATTATTAACTTAAAGACTATTAATTTATTCAAGTTTCCTTTGATTTTATCTCTTTCTATTCCAAGATCCTATACATAGACATTATATTTAGTCTTCTTAGGCTTCTTCTGGTTGGGACACCTTCTCAGACTTTCCATTTTGGGGATAACCTTACAATTTATCCCTGACCCATACTTGTAAGCAATTCTTGTGAGTGGAATACTTAATCTTAGAAAATTGGCATCACCATTTGCTATAAAGGAATAAAGGACAAGCGAATTAGGGGTATGCGTGTGTGTGTACATATATGCATTCAATAATGTATGGTACTGAGATACATTTATTCAATTCTAGTCTGTTCTGTTGGTTAGTATTCTAGTTCTGTGGAAATCATGGACTTAGAGATAAAAAGACTATCTTCCTACTAAATTAAAAATTATAAAGTTTTAATTTAATGAAAAATGGAATTTTCCTAGAATAAATTCCTGGATCAGTTCTTTTTTTTTTTTTTTTACGTTTCTTTTTTTAAATTTATTTTATTTAAATTTTATTTTTTTATTCTCCATATAATTACAGCCCCCTTATTTTGACCCCAAGCCCTCCTTTCCCTGCCCGCCATCCCCTATAGCGTGTCTCTGGTTCATAGTTGTTTGTTGATTTTGATATTTTCTTTCTTATAGTTATTCTTTTTCCTGGTCCCTTATTTAAGTTTTCTAGATTCCTGCTATGAGTGAGACCATCTGGTATTTTTCTTTTTCTTTCTCTTTCTGGCTTATTTTGCTGAGCATGATCCCTTCCAGCTCCATCCATGTTGCTGCAAATTGCATGTGTTTATCTTTTTTGAATGCAAACTAATATTCCATGGTGTATATGTACCACATCTTCTTGTCCTGGATCAATTCTATAGGATAAAGATATCTAGATGTTAGGGGATGGTGAAAAAGTAAATTTATTTTTCATGGCTTTAACTGGTATATAGGAATAAACTTGAATTTTATGTACTAAATCTAAATCTGATCTATTCATTTTTCCCCCCAATAAATGTTTACCGTATGTGCTATCAGGTGTTGTTTTAGGTCTTGGGATATAGTAGTGAGCAAAACAAACATAAAACAATAATCTGTCTTCCTTTGTTAAGGGGAGAGGTTATAGGCAATAAACCCTTTCTCTATACTATATTAGGTGGAGGAAAATAAAGGCTAGTAAATAGGGAGTGCTTTATGAGGGTGGGTTGAAGTTTTAAATAGGGTTGTCAGGGAAGGCCACATCAACAAGGTGGTATTTGATCAAAGACATGAAAGAAGTGAGGGAATGAGCCATGCAGATATCTGAGGGAAGGACATTCATGACAGAAGAATCAGTAAATGTAAAGACTGAGTGGAAAGCATGCCCTTATTACTCTAGAAATAGTAAGGAGACCAGTAAGGCTGGATAGGTGGACGAGTAGTAAGAGATACAATAAGAGAGATAGCAAGGAATCATCTCATGTAGGACTTTGTAGAGTGTAGACCATTGTTAAGACCTTCCATTTTCAGTTATTTTTTTTTAAAGATTTCTTTATGGATACAAGAGCTGGGGTACAGGCCAGAGATGCACGGGGCGAGAGGAAACACCAGAGACAGAGTGGGGAACAGAACAGGCAGACAGACGGAAATACACTGCTGAGGGGAGCAGTGGGCGAGACAGGAGAGGTCTGCTGCACCATGTGGGTTTCTCCCTGTCTGACCGGGAATTGAACTCATGCTGCAGAGGCTGTGGATTGCTTCATAGTGTGGTGCTTAACCCCTTGCACCACAGGGAGGCCCCATTTTCAGTTATTTTAAAAAAAAAATTTATTTTGTGCTGAGCAGAGCAGTAACATGATCTAAATTATGCTTTAAAAAGAAGGTGACTGTGTTGAGAAGAGGCTGCAAAGGGAGCAGAGGTAGAGGTAGGGAGAACACTTTGGAAGCTGTTGCCGTAAGTCTAGGAAAACATTGATGGTGGCTGGGATCTAGGTTTAGTAAGATTGGAGGAAGTTTAAGAAGCAGTCAGATTCTGAATATGTTTTGAAGATAACCCAAAAAATTTCCTGATAGATTGGATGTGGCTTCAGGGAGGGAGGAGTTAGATACGACTTAACTATTTTGGCTTGAGTAGCTGGAAAGATGAAATTGGCATTTACTGAGAGGATAAAAACTGTAAGAGGATCAATTTTTGGAAGGAGTTTGAGGTGAGGTGGTGAAGAACAGGCTTTGATTTTGGATATGTATGTTTGTGATATTAGACATCCAGTGGATATTTTAAGAATCGTATTTTAAGAATATGAGTCTGGAAAACAGAACTCTCTGGGTTAGAGATATAAATTTGGGTGTCATCAGTATATGGATGGTATTAAAACTGAGACTGGATGAGATTACAAAGGTCATAAATATGAAGAAAGAAGAGAACTAAAGGCATCTACTGGATCTGTTTAATATTGGAAGCATACATGTCCAGAATCAAAGCCTGTTCACTACCTCACCTTGACCTCACTCTAAGAAATTGTTCCTCTTATAGTTCCTACTATCTTCGTAAATGGTAATCCATCTTTCCAGTTACTTGCCTCAGACTCCCTCTTCTCCTGGGTTTCCTAGCTCACTAACCATAGCTCAGTTTCTTTTTCTGGGTACTCTAACATAAAGGTGTTAAGATTAGTGAAGAGGAACCAGAGAAAGAAACTGAGATGTGGACAGTGAGATAGGAAACCCAGGAGATTGTAGAGTCCTTACGTGGTAAAAAGAGTATTTCTAGGTAGTGATTATCTCAGACAAATACTGCTGCCAAGTAAGTTGAACGTTGATAATTAATCATTGATCTTAGAAATTTGAGGTCCTTGGTGATATTGAACAGTTCTGAAGGAGTACTGAGGCAAAAGCCTGATTAGGTGGGTTTAAGAAAGTATGATTCAAGAAAGAGAAGTTAGTGACAATGATGAAGAGACAATTTTTTTCAGTAAAAGGAAGTAGAAAAACAGGCATCTAGAGGGGAAAGCATTTTGTGTGGGGGTGAATATACAATATGAAAGTAATGATAGCATTTTCTTGTGCTTCTGGGAATGACCCAGAATACATGGAATAAAGGATGAAATAAAGGGGGAAATTTATGGAAAACTGCATGAGGCTGCAAGAAGGGCTTGGATGTAGTGTGTAGGTGGAATTGGCCTTTTTTTTAAAAATTGCAGTAACTGGTTTAAAACAGTATGCTTGTTTCATGTGTATAGGCTTATGAATAAATATCTGTATATACTACATTATGCTCATAGGAATGTGCACTGTTTGTCTATAATAGCAAAAGAGAAGAAAGAAAACATGGGCAGATATAAGCAAGTGATGGGGATTGTCTTCTGGTTGTATGTGTTTTCTTTATATGAAGATAGGAAAGCTATTCTGGCCTGAAGAAAAAGGTATAAAATAATTCTCTAGGAGAGTGAGAGAGTAAATGGGCTAGGAAAATGTAGGAATTACATAGGACACTAAAGTCCACTTGA